CCCCCCCCCCCCCCCCCCCCCCCGCAATAACCAGTCAGGTCTTATGGATTTTGTCTTTACAACTTCTCCCATATCCATTCCTTTCTTTCCACTGGAAGGACAATCAAGTCCAACTTGTTCAGGCCTCTGACTTTTGCAACAGCCTCCTAATTGATATACTTGCCTCCAGTCTCACCCCTTTCAGTGCATCCTCCACATAGCTAACAAATTGATCATCTAAAAAGTGATTGTTAATGGAGGGAGACCTGGAGATTTATGTGATAAAGTGTAAATGTGGGAATTTCAAGTAGTTGTGTAGAAATTAGGGTAGAGAATTTGACCAGATAGTGATTACCTTTAATATGCATTGGGAATCTTTGAAAGGAGGAGAGTGGTAAATTGGATCGGGTGAGCCAGACTGGAGTTGGGAAGCAGTTGCTAAATTTAATGGATTAATGGAGGGAGGGGGAAAGGAGAGAGAGAGAGAGAGAGAGAGAGAGAGAGAGAGAGAGAGAGAGAGAGAGAGAGAGAGAGAGAGAGTGAATATAAATAGAAATATAAAGAGAAAAACAGGAGTAAGAGGTCCAGAATGGATTTATCCAGAAAGAAAACAGACTTTTAGATTGCCCCAAATACAATACGTTGGACACTTATTAAGCATCTGTAGTGTACAGAGCACTGCTAGGAGAAATACAAAGTATATAAATAAGGGATTGTCCTTGCCTTCAAGAAACTCGTAGTCCAAACAAAGGCTAAGACACAGATAGTAAATGTTAAGCAAGTATATTAGAGCCTTACAAAACGAAACCACCTTGTGAAGTCTGAAGGGAAAAGTCATTATTGTCTAAAGGGTTAAGAGAGAAGATATCAAGTTGGCATTTAAATTGAACTTTAAAAGATGAGTAGAAATTCAATAGGCAAAGATGGGGAGGGATCATAGGATTTAGAGCTAGAAATGGACTTTAAACATCATCGAGCCCAAATCCCCCATTTTACAGAAGAGAGATTTCAAGGGGATCCATCCCAACCTAGAGAATAGTCAGAGCAAAGGTTGAAAGGCACACCGGACATTTGGAGAATAGAAAAATAGATGAGTTTGGCTGAGGCTAAAGTGCACGGAAGTGAGCAATATGAGACAAGGCTAGAAAGGTAGGGTGGCACCAGATTGGAGAGGACATTGAATGTCAAGCAAAGGAGTTTGAACGTTCAAGAGAGGTCACCAAATCTATGGAAAAGAAGGTTTATTCTGGCAGCAGGATGAAGGATGATTTGAGGGGTGGGGGAGAGGCAGGTAGCATGAGACACTTAAAGAGCTGTTAGAAGACTATTGTAATTATCTTTGTCAGTGGCAAAGGGCCTGTGCCAGGATGGTGGCCAAGAAGAAAGGCTGGTTGGACTAATTAGGGATAATATGGCAGAGATGTAAGGGTAAAGTCACACCTAATTTAATTCAACTAATATTTGTTAAGTACCTACCAAGTGCAAGGCATTATGCTTAGGGTTAGGGATCAAGACACAATGCCACATCCAAGACCTATAACTGATCCCTTTCTAAACCCAACTGAGCCCTTCCTTCCCACCCCTGTAGTAGGATATACTTTTCCTTTACTCCCCCCATCACTATCACCTCCCCCCACCTCCCTGGCTAAACATTTTCCACTGCCTGGGAACTCAGTGCCAGATAATCATTGGGGAGGGGCTTCATGAAAAGCTAATTTCTAATTTGCTGGAATACAATCCTGTTTGATCAGTGTTTCTGGGCACCTCTTCCTCTTAAAATTCAGGGCACTTAACTGGTTCTACCGAGGTTTATGAATGTTTAAAAATTGCTTTGCGGTCCCTAAAGTAATTTGACAAGTCTGACAGCTATTGATTAAAAACTTGAAATTATTCAGACTGCAGGATGACTTGGGGGATGAGATGGAAAGTTTTTTGCTATGTATATTTTCTCTCCAGAATGTGAAAGGAAAGTAGATGTAGGAAAGTAAATGTGGCCCTGAATGTTTTTTGAAAAGCCCATTCTAGCTGTGAAATACAACTAGAATGATGAAATACTGGGTGAGGAATGATGAATGAATGGCTGAACAAGTGAATGAATTTATAGAGTGCTTCCCTAAAGTCTGCAAAGTACTTAACCATCCATTAACTCATTTGCTTCTCACAGCAGCCCTGTGGGGTAGGTAGTGAAGATATTGTCACCTCCGTTTTACCAATGGGAAAACCAAAGCCCATTAAGGTGAATGACTTGCCCAAGGTCATTGAGCTAGTAAATGACCCAGAGTCTCCTGACTTGAAGTCCTGAGCTCTTCTCTGCACCCTGTATTGCCTCTGGCTAGTCTTGCTAACCAAGGGTATAGGGTATGTATTGTATGCCTGCAGCCCTCAAGCTGGCTAGCATCTGTCCTTGCTACACCCTCCTCCATCCCCTCCCCTTCCTTCTAAGGCTCCCTTGACACCAAGAATTGATTCATAATCACACTGTCTTCTATTTTTGAAAAAGCATAAACCCTTTTTCAAAGTGCTCTCAAATATATCTCATTTGAGCTTCATATTGTTCCTGTGAAGAAGGTAGGCCAGGTTTCTT